TTTCCATTTGTTCAATAAACTTTTTCTCATTATCCAACTGTCTCAGTTTTTGCGCCTCTTCAGAGTCACACGTTCTAATCATGACAATTTTTAAATATCAATTTTTAGCATAGGCAATTGTCGACAGCATGTCAATACAACACATTTTTGGTAAAGATAAACAAAGGTAAAATTGTTTATTTATAAAAAGCATAATTTTAATTACTATGATGGTCAAAAGGGGCTTTGGATACTCTCAGTGCAGTGAAGCTGATGCTTCTCTTACAGAGATATAAATTGGTAAACAGTTCTATCTTGAAATTGTGATATTATCTTTCTCCTTCTCCAGTATAATTGTAAAACAATTGTATTTCTATCAAATAACGACTTAGAAGAGATGCGTGATTGAGAAGTCAGAAATATTTACTCTATAAATCATAAATCAAATAGATATAATAATCAACAATCAACTAATGAAATTGTGTCCTCCACCTAATCTTAATGGGAAGTAGTACCTGAAAGTGTTGGGCATGTAGAAGGGCACAATGCCTTTGGTATTCTGGCATCAAGGTGGAGAATACTCCATCATAAGATAAACCTGCTTCCTCATAATGTGGACTCTGTGGTGATGGCTGCTTGCATCCTCCACAGCTTCCTGCTGAGTAGAAGGGAGAACCAGCAGCTCCTGGACAAAGCCCAGGAGGATGGACGTAGGATGCGGCCTGTTGGCAATACGGCTGGAAGACGCAGATTGGCTGAAGCCAGAGCTGTCAGGGATGCCTTCTGCACTTACTTCAACTCTCCAGGAGGGAGTGTTCCATGGCAAGATAGAATGGTGTGAAACCTGCATCCAGCTGTGGATTAAAGAGTCAAATAAAACACCTGTAAACCTCTGGTCTGCTATGTTGTTCTTTGCATCTATAATTACCTTTACTTCTGTACACTCAAAGCTGGTCTGCCTCCAACATTATTATACACTGAACACATTGTGACAGAGCATTCATGTTGCTTGAAATATTGCCTGTGTAGAAATAATCGGGCATTGTAATGCTCAGTGGTTTAGTTGACTCATATGGTTTCCAGGATTATCATGCTATAATGATTGATAAAACCTCCATGTACCGATGGGGGGAGATCACAGCCGAGTAGCAGGGCTGCCATTAATTTGTCACATTTGCAACAAACCTGTAAGTATTCTTATCCTTTAGAGTAAAGTAATTGGATATTATGAAGTTTAAATGACAGCTTCTTATTTTATATGGTGTCTTAATTTGCTTATAATCACTTACCTGATCAGGTTGAGACAATGTGCAATTAAAGTAAAATTGACTTACTAGAATTTTTTTTTTTTTGCAGTAGCCAGATATTGTTGTGTATGACTGGCATGCAGTGCCAAGCACAGCTTGTTTAGCTGATTTGTTTTTACATAGGACCAAAATATAAGGCAATGGATGCTTATTTAGTCTAACAAAATTAAAACTCACCATCCAGCACACAGGCAATTTCTGCTCAAACCTTTCTGTGATTATTCTTTTAATGAGCATGCCTGGGATCATACAGGATTGACTGGTGTTCCTTTTCCAGAATCAAAGTCTCCTCATCCGTTTCTGTGAGAGTTGAGATGAACCCCTGCAAATTTGATGCAGCTTCTAAACCGAGTCACCAACACGATTAGTGAAATGGTCAAATCTGGATCTTGTAGCAACTTTACATTAA